CATATGTAGGCAACAAGCCACAGCATTTTTACTGTACAGGCTGATGTAGTTCACTGACCATTTGGTTGGTGTTGCCTTCAGATGCTTCTTGAGGGGTTGAGATCAGCCTGGCACCTATTCACCATTTTAGGCTAGTGCAGGCACCCCCATCCCTCTAGTCCATGGCCAGAGTCCTCCAGGGCCATTTTGGTTTGAGCTCTGGAAGACTCTGGATCTTTTAAAATAATCTCTGTGGGTGTATCTCAGGTCTTGGAGACAAGTCACAGCTTTTAAAAGAGGAGAACAGTAATTATATCATAATTTTTTGCCACATGAGGAGAAAAACCCTAAGTGAAGTAATCTGGAGATTCAGACTGCAGTACTATCAGTATATCAGTACATACCACTTTCTTTTTCATTTGATGTAAGTAAAACAATGGAAATCCTTAACCAGTGCTTGGCGACAGTACTGAACTGGTGATGCCAATAAACTGAACCTAGACAAGCCTGAGGTACTATTAGTGACAGCTGTCCATGTCAGTAGTGTTCAACTTTTTTTTCCTTTTTCCTTTAATCAAAAGCCATATTCCCAAGGCTGCTGGAAGCTTCATGACTGAGCTGGATGGGCTGCCTATCTTCTTTCTCTTTCTGATGCCTCCTTTTTTTTCTTTTTCTTTTCTTTTTCCCAAGCTGTCGGGATGGAATAGATTATTTTTATAAAAGATCTGAATTTCACCAAGTGCCCGTGAAATTAGATCAAGGGCAGTATAAAATTAGGCTTAGGGCTGCATGTTTTTCTCAAAGTTCAGGTTCCAAGTTTAGCGCTAAAGGACCAAATTTGTTACTTAGGATGCTTGGAGACCATCTTTGTCAATAAAACACAACTTTTCTTTGAGGCACTCAGTGCATTTTTCCAGCTCAGCCATGTACCCTAGAAACAATGTAACTTGGATAGAAGTAGCCTGGTTTCACTGATCCATGACCTCCCATTTAAATTACTACAATGAGTGGTTGTCTTTTCACATGAAGCCTGAAGGGCTTGTTCCCATATAAATTCCTGAAATCTGGGCAATAGTGGTGGCACTTTTGCTTGGTAAGACTGTAGCAATGCAGGAAGTGTCTATGAAATAGCCAATGCCAAAACAGAACAAGCAAAGGGAGTGGTCACACATATGTGGCAATTTAGATCCACTTTATATACAGAGGAGCAGTGTAAAAATAAGAGGACTTACAAGTCTTAAAGTCTGTAAATATACAGTCATGTGAAAAAGAAAGTACACCCTCTTTGAGTTCTATGGTTTTATGTATCAGGACATAATAAAAATCATCTGGTCCTTAGCAGTTCTCAAAT